TTCGAAACATGGCAATGTTAATTTTTTTTTCAATTTTGATTTTGAGTTTTGTTTTGTTTTTAGTTGTGAATGATAAAGTTGCCTTTGCCTATTGGAACTTAGCGGGATACAGGGCAGGTGAAGTAGAGTTCACCTGTTTCTTTGTCCTCAGTATATAACGTGGATAGTGTGGTCAGACCCATGCTCAGCCGAAATCTATGTTTTCAAAGACAAAAACATGTCTGAGTTGGGAGGACACTGGGCAGGTGAAGTAGAGTTGACCTGTTTTTGTGACCTCAGCATATGAAGAGATTATATTGTCAGACTCATGCTCAGACGAAATCAGTTTTTAAAAGACAAAAACGTCTGAGGTGTGACGCCTTTTTAAATGTGGGGTCTGGTTATTTTATGATGATAAGTGACAGACGTGATGTCATTTATGGATGACCCCCGAAACCCACAGTTATCTAACTAGATAACGGGTAGTCTAGTATGTACTATTATTAGAATCTAACATCGCAAACTATTTTCCATTTTAATTAGTTCCTATCAGCTTGCAAAATAAGTAGTAGGCAAAGTGATCTATAAATAGCTCATTAAAATCCCGTATCATTGTGGGTGATCTACGGTAATCTCCCTCCGGGTGACTGTTAAATCAGAAAGGCAGATGCCGATTTAGGGAGAGCATACAATTAATTGAAGATCTTAGAATTGCTTGAATTAAAGATTTTAATGTAAGCTCTTACGGAGGGGGTGGGATTACCTAATCTAGACCTTACCCCCGGGGGACTATAACCTACCAGTTGTCAGTGCAACTCCAGCTTTATAGATTAAACAAAAGATAATCTTATCATAACTTTATTAATGTAAATGTAAAATAAATATGGAACCAATTCAAATCTTTAACAAATAAAGCAGGAATGATCTTCCCGTTTTTTTTCTTTCTCGTATATACGAAGTATAGAGAAAGTCTTGTAATCGTGCAAAAAAAAAAAATCGAGATTTTTGCAAATCTCGACGTTTTACACCTCACTGATACGGAAAAACATAATTTTGCAATCTTGTCCGTATATCTGTCTTTGTGTCTATGTGTCTCTGTGTGTGTAAACACGATTACTTGAGTACCGTTACAGCTAGGTTGATGAAATTTCATATATATAAGAGTGTTATCAAAATCGTAGATCCCTATCAACTTTTGAGCGATTTCCGATAACCGGAAGTGGTACTTTTTCTACTTTGAATTTTTCAAAAGCCTGTAACTTGAGTACTATTTCAGATAGATAAATGAAATTTCACATGTAAGTAAAATATCTAAGTAAAATATCTAATTCTCTACCTCCTTTCAAATTTTGACCGGAAGTACTAATTTACGCTATTTTCGATTTCTCAAAAAACGCATGTAAATTTATAAAGTACTAATAATATTGCGCACTATTACGAACATCTTTATTTGGCGTTCGCTTGGTGCGCAATTATTTTTTCTATGAGTTGCTATTCTATTTTAAAAAGTTTAAGTATTTAAAATGGATTAAAAATCATAACCATATCCCGAGTTCCCGTTTTTTTTTAGAAATCGTAAATAGCGTTAAGTACTACTCCCGGTCACCTGAAATTACTCAGAATTTGAAAGAAAACAGAGAATTACATTTTTTATTATATTTTAAATTTGGTAATCCGTCGTTTTAGGGACGTAGTATATGCCGCTATTTGGTTGTTTCATTATCTACTTTTCAGTAATTCATAATTTGTGAATTGGACACTACCAATGCTGCGACTGAAAATATTTCATTTTCTCGTTAAGGACGATAACCCCCCCCCTCCTTTCCACCAACCGCTACCCCCCCCCCCCCCACCCGTAAAAGCAGCCTCCTCTTAGTTACCTTCCCTTAGTTTCAAATCGTTTCAAACTAAATTATCTGCCCCAATAGCCGTTACTAATTCGACCCGGCTCTACAATTGTAAACATTTGGCGTGAACCACAGCTCACCAGACCGGCGCGGGTGGGGGTAGTAGCGATATGCCTAGAGAGGAAGAGATGGGACTGCTAGGCGCGCTTACGTGGTGATGGTTGTGTTCAACATAATCTCCACGTAGAGAATTATATCTATCTATCTATATTTTATATATATATATATATATATATATATATATATATATATATATATATATATATATATATATATATATATATATATATATATATATATATATATATATATATATATATATAAAGCAATGTATGTGTGTCTGTTTGTTTGTTTGTCTTTTATGCATTACTACTACACCTCTCATCACATCGCCGTAAAACTTTGGGAAGTTGCTGAGAAAATTTCTGGAGAGGTTTCTGCGGAAAAAAAATATTTCAAATTCGCAGGGCTCAATTTGTTTTTTCTATATATACGGTAGATAAAAATAAAAGTCACTTTTGGTTTGACAGCGTCCATCCGATCGCCATCAAACTTTAGTGAGTTCATTAGAACACTCTGGGAAGGGTTCTGTAAAAAAAATCATTTATAATTTCGCAAGGGCGGCGCCACGAGAGGGTGCGATTTTTCACTATATACAGTACATAAAAATAAAAGTTGATTTTGGTTTGACACCATTCATCCGATTGCCATCAAACTTTGGGGAGTTAATTAGAACACTTCAGGTGAGGTTTCTGTATAAAAAATTTTTTTTTAATTTTGCAAGGGCGGCGCCACGGGATGGTGGGATTTTTCTCTATATACGGTATATAAAAATAAAAGACGATTGCGGGTCGACACAGTTTATCCGGGTGCCATAAAACTTCAGGGAGTTGATGAATATTCCCCAGAAGGTTTCTGGGGTGGGAGAGAGGGTGGGAGTGGGTGGGTGGAGGTGGGAGGGGGATTTAATTTTGCATGGGCGGCCGGGGGGCAGGATGCGATTTGGCGCCCTGGTCTTTCCCGTGAGAGCTATGGCAACTACGTTCGGTCTAAACAGTGTGATAGACAATTGAATCAGGCGTGTCCTTCGGCGCCCTGGTAGGGTGCGATTAGGCTGCAAACAAAAATTTCAGTTTCGGCCTCCAAAGGCTCACATGGGACGCTGAGGGCCATGTAATACGTTTTATTTTAATAATCAGAAAAATTAAACAAGGTTAGATTATTAACTGGGATGTTTCTTTTTATCCGTAAAAAAATCCAAACAGTTACGTCACTTTGCGAATGATGCAATTAGCATCTATTTTTAGACTATCCAGCCAGAAATTGAGATCGAGCATCTATTAATAGACCATTAGTAACGCTAACATATTGCATCAGTCACACTGATGTTTAAACACTTCAAATAAATATTTTAAGTGTTAAAGAAAAAATCCTGTTCATTTGTGTCACTTTAGCAAATGACGCAATCTGCATCATTGTTAACAGTATTCTATTTGGCACGATGGCACCTGTTAGTTTTAAAGAGCCAGGGGCCGTACGCGGCGCCTATGCGGTAGTGTAGTCGGGGATGGGGGGGGGGGGGCTCCTGAGAGCGCCCCTCTACGACCCTGACACATGGGCAGTCATCGAAGTGTGTTCTACCTCATTTTTTCGGTGAGTGATTAATGTACACTCAAGGTTTTCATGCGGTAGTGTAGGTAAACCCGTGTCCCGATATTTATGATTCAAGCGCAGGGATTGTTTACATTTAAATAACTCACTTTTAGAAAAAAGGTCACGCGTCGAAAAATATTGATAACGCATGGATGAAACCTTTCTTATATATTTCGTCGGGCTTTCTTCTATTCCCGCGGCAACGCGCGGGAACGGGTACGCTAGTATATCTATAACGAGAAAAATGGCCCGTTGAGGAAGGATACAACGGGCGCTAGGCTGATAGTGCTGTCTCTTTTCTCTAAACTAAAACCACCCCACCCCACCCCCCCCCCCACACACACACCACCACCCACCCCCACCCCCCCCCCCCCCCCAAAAAACATGTCTACCGTCCCATTCAACGAAATATAATTATATACTTTTTCCAGTGTCCGCCCCCCTCCCCGAAAATTCTACCCCCCGCCCCCGAAAATTTCAATTACCCCCACCCCTCTCCGGGGAGGAAAAAGTCTGAAAGAAACACTGGTGTCGCGCTTAGCCACTACCCGAAGAATTGCATTAAAGAAATTGCAAGAAAACCACTTTTTTAGATTAGACACATTAATTAGGCGGTAATTTTATTATAGAGTATCGATTACGACATTTCTTTTGAGTTGGGGCGGGGGGGGGGGGGCTCAGACATTCTTACGCGGGGGTGGGGCTTCGCCCCTACCCGAAGAATTGTATGCAAGAATTGTATGAAAGAAACTCTTCACGCAAACCACTTAGATTAGATAAAATTGCCTTTTTTATTAAATGTTTACTCGAGAATCAATGACGTCATATTACTGTGTGCACTCTCCGGCTTGAGATTATTTTCTACTCTATGCTAAATGTGACGACGTCATACTTCGTTTTTCGAATTACTATGCATGTTTTTAATTTCCTTGTGTTTTCTCTAGAGCGTTCTTGTCAGATAGACAGACAGAGCGTTCTTGTCAGATAGACAGACAGCGAAACTATTAGTATTAATAATTGTTTTACTGTCTATCTTTTTCAAATGTTTTCGCTGTCTGTTGGGAACGCTTTTACTAAAGAGAAAACACAAGGAAAGTAAAAACTTCCACAGTCAACCGAAAAAGGAAACGTGAAGTCACATGGAAGATATAGTAGGAAACATTCTAAAGCCGGAAAAGTACACACAATAATATGACTTCATTGATTCTAGAGTAAACATTTAATTTAAAAGCCATTGCCCCAAAAAAAAAATAAAGTGAGCTAGCCTTGATCAGCTTTTCCTTGGTCTTCTGCGTTCCAGATCATTATAAATTAATTTAGCGCTATAATGAAAATCACAGCTAAGATCTATAGGCAGTTCTCATCGCAATTCAACCCGGTAAAGTGTTTAGCGTTTTAACAATAGCTGTAAACTTAACGTAAAATATACAGCCGCTGAAGGCCTGACCCTCACTATTGCAGTTTGGCCAGTTTGTCAACCACGACATTACATCTGTCCAGTGCCAACAGGTATGTCGCCAACTAGTTCGTGGTTTTATTTTCTTTTGGCGCTGAT